CTCTTGGAATCTTGGGCACGCACACACACATGTGCTCAGTGTGAGCTTAAGGCACCAGGTCCAAGACTCAAACCACGGTCGACTACATGAGAATCCAGCAACATAGCCATTACGCCAACTGCTAGTCCCATGCCCAGCATGTTTCAAGCTGCTGGATTCGGGAGTTGAACTGCAGTCGACTACATGGGAGTCCAGTGACATAACCATGATGCCATCTGCTGGTCCCCAAATAATGTTTTTAAAAGGTGCCTTTAGGGTTAGCTCTGTAGCCTAGTAGTTAAGAAAGCTACCTCTCACAGCTCAGTCTTGGCCCAGGTGGCTTAAAAAACACGCTGGACATGTGTGCGCATGCATGCCCCAAACCCCAACAGGATGGAGAAATGGAGGAGAAGGGATTGTGATGTAATCACACCCCATTGGGGAATGCCTTTTCCCTCTCACTCTGGCAAATACATGTACTCTTTGGCAATTTAAATGTCTTCATATATGACTATGGTATATTTTTCTAAAAAAAGAGTCCCAGTCTTTTAAAAATACATTATTCAATATTTATGGATAAAATGATTGATATAAGGTCTGAAGTTTGCTTTAAATATGAAATCTTAATACAGGGAATGAAAGAGACAGAGAAAGAGGGAGAGAGAGAAAGCACTCCCCAATGGGATATGGTCCTCCTGCCTTCTTTCTTCATTTCTCCATTTTGTTGAGATTTTCAGAAAGGCACACACACGATCCTGGTGTGTTTTTCAAGTTGCCATGTCTGAAATTCAAACTACATAGTCAGCCAGGCAGGAACTACTTCCTTTAAACACTAGGCCATAGGCCAGCTCGCAAGTATGGTTGAAGGATAGTAGTCATAGATCGCTTCTCGTGAATGTGAGTGACGTATACAGGGATTTATCATGCTACTCTGTCCATTTTTGTATATCTGTAAAAATGTTCATGATTTTAAATTAAGAATTGGTGTCTTCTCAATATCTTTTCCTTTCAAGAATAATGGGTGCCTTTTTCGTACTCCATTTGTCTCCTTCGATGTGGACTGAGAAAGCTCTCATCTATACCAAATTCTTCATTATGAAAATTATTTGTGTAGTTTAAAAATGTCCCTTAAAATAGTAAAATTTCTCTTTAAAATAAAAATGTTTTAAAAATTACTTCTGACTTTTTCAAAGTTTAATTGTTCATTTCTGCCATGAACAAGAGACAGAGAGATAGTAACTCCAATAGGTTATAGATGCCATGATCCACCCCCAGCCTCAGCTAGGCCTGGATTGTGGGCATACATGTGCCCAGCATGTTCAGGAATGTCTCTGGACTTGAACTTTGAACCATCCTGTGTGGGATTGGCTCACAGAGCATTGCTTTAACACTGGGACCACTGTTGGGCCCCCAAAGACTTCCCCAAGCCCCCATCAGTGGCCACTTATTTTGAGCAATTTTAAACAATGCATCCAAGTTCCACTATAACAAAGTACTTCTTCTAATTCTGTTCAATAAAACATTCTCTCTCCACATTTGAAAATACTTTTACAGGGCCAGCCCTGGGGCCTAGTGCTTATTAAGGGAACCAGATCGCACATGACCAACTCTGCAGTTTGAGTATCAGCCCTAGTGGCTTGAAAAAACACACTAGGCTTGTGTATGTGTCCAAAATTCCAACAGGATGGAGAAACGGGGGAGAAGGGATTACAGCATGGCCATGCCCCGTCTCTCTCTCTGGCAAGTGCACGTGCCCTCTGACAACAACAACAAAAAAACTTATACAAGCAAAATTCCATTATAACAATTTTTTTTTTTTTTACGAGAGTTCATTTTATTTGTTCAAGGGCTCATATTGCAAGCATTAAACCAAGCATGGGCTTTGCTTCTGTGGGCCCACATTCACATATTAAGGTAAAAGCAAACTGTGATCCACATACCTGGATGGAAACTAAAGGCTCATGGTTAATCACATTGTAGTTTTAGAATTTCTACAACCTAGACCTCAGTAGTCACAGGTCTTTCAGGTCCTTCTGAATGTCCCACAGCGTATCTGCACTCTTCTTGAGCTGAGCAACCTCGTCGTCCTTCAGCTTCTGGTTGATAACACTGGTCAATCCCCGAGCGTTGAGGATACACGGAAGGCTCAGGAAGACTTCATTCTCGATGCCATACATCCCCTTCACCATGGTTGACACTGGATGAATCCTGGACAGATTTTTCAACATGGATTCAGTGAGATCAGCCACACTTAATCCAATCGCCCAGTTGGTATATCCTTTTAGCTTGATGACTTCATAGGCACTTTCAACAACCATCTTATGCACTATTGTCCGTCCCCATTTCTGGATTCAGTTCCTGGAGAGAAACACCTGCCACATTCACGCCACTCCACACGGCCACACTTGAATCGCCATGTTCTCCCAAAATCCATCCGTGGCAGCTGGTGGGATGAACGCCAAGTTTTTCAGCCATGAGATAGCGAAATCTAGCAGAATTCAGATTACACGCACTTCTGATCACATGGTGCTTGGGCAAGCCACTTAGTTTCCAGGTAACATAAGTGAGAATGTCCACTGGGTTGGAAACCACAATTATGATGCAGTTGGGGCTGTACTTGATGATCTGGGGAATAATGAATTTGAAGACATTAACGTTTCTTTGCACCAGGTTGAGACGACTCTCCCCCTCCTGTTGACGGACTCCAGCAGTCACGACCACAATCTTGGAATTGGCAGTCACAGAGTAATCTTTATCTGTCACAATTTTAAGTGTATGAAGAAATAAGGTTCCGTGCTGCAGATCCATCATTTCTCCTTTGAGTTTATCTTCCAAAACATCCACCAGGGCAAGTTCATCAGCCAGAGACTTTCCCAGAATGCTGATCTCACACGCCATACCAACTTGTCCAACACCCACTACAGTGATCTTGTTGTTGGGGACCGTTGCCTTCTCTTCTGCAACTGGTGCAATGAGTTTATCCTTAAGAGTTGCCATTGTGGGGACCAGCAGTTAGCGTAATGGCTATGTCGCTGGACTCCCACGTAGTTGACCGCGGTTCGAGTCCTGGACCCGGTGGCTTAAACTCACGCCGGGCCTGTGTGCGTGCGAGCCCAGGATCCCGAGAGGAGAATGGAGGAGAAGGGATTGCAGCGTGGCCACCCCCCCCGGGAGGTGATTTCCTGCTGTCTCTCTGTCTCTCTCTGTCTGTCTGGCGAGCGCATGCGCCCTATAGCAAAAACCTCTTAAAAAAAAAAAAGAGTTGCCATTGTGCACAGGACAGAGAAAGCTCTCGAGATGGCTGGAACAGTCGAGCTTAGAGGACAATGTCAGCTGCGCGCTTCTCCACCCACGCAGGATCTGCCCATTATATAACAAATTCTATGAACTCTTTTTTTTTTCCTGAATATCTTGATTTAAATTAGTGTATCCCTTGAGATCACCTTCTCTGACTGTGACTCGTTTTCTATGTTCTTTTATTCTCTTATATATAATCACTGTATAGCTTTATAGCATACAAAATGAGTTTTCCCAGCATAAATACACTGCGTATTAGTCCAGTCAAAGAGATTACCATACGCATCATCGCCTGATAATTTTCCACTTTTGTATCTGTTAATTGTTTTGCTTTTCCTTTTCTTTTTGATTCCCTCCTTCCTGCTCCCCCACTGTCCACCCTCCTCCCATACTGTCTTTAGTATCCATGGTTGCTCTCCATGCCTTTATGCCTTCCAATCTTTCAGTTTCTGGCATAGAGTGCAGACATTCCATATATATTAAGTGGGTACATATAATGCTTCTCTTTCATAGTCTGACTTGCTTCACAAAGCATTAAATCTTCCATATTTATCCACTTTCTATCCAATGCCAGGGTCTCATTGTTTTTTTATGGTTGAGTAGTATTCCATAGTGTATGTGTGCCACATTTTTTCAATCCATTCATTCATTCTTGGACATTTGGGTTGATTTTATGTCTTAGGGATTGTGAATAATACTACAATAAATGTGGATGTGCAAGTGTTTTTCCCACTGAGTGTATTCCTATTCTTTGGGTAGATACCCAGGAGTAGGATTGCTGGACTGTATGGTAGTTCTATTCATAGGTTTTGGAAGAACCTCTATATCATTCTCTACAGTGACTGCACTAATTTACATTCCCACCAAGAGTGTAGGAGAATTCCCTTTTCACTGCAGTCTTGCCAGTATTTACCATTCTGACTGTGAGTCTTGAGATGAAAGGTCCTATTATGTGCAGCTGAGTCAAGTGAAGTAATGAGAGAAGTATTTTGAGCTCACAGTAGTTATGCCTTTCACTCTTATGCCTTATTTTCCCCAGGATATGTACTCTATTGTTTGACTCAGTGGTTGAGGAATTTATGTGAATTGGAGTTTGACTTTGGGAGGTTTAATTGTTTTAATTGCATATATTTCATAAGAGACTTAGCTATACTCTCTCTTCCCAGCCTGCAAATGAGACTCGATTTTTATGTTAATAGCTTTTCCGTGAACCGAGACAAGAAAAGCATTTTCACAAATTCATTTGTTGCATAAATTATTTGTAACATATCAAGAAGAATCTGTTAGTTGGGGGGGGCCATATTTCTAAACATAGAATTAGTTTTATTGGGAGCCACCCCCATAATGTAGTGGTTAAGTGCTTTCAGTTGGGAAAGGGATCCCACATGACTGACCTTGGTTCAAATCCCAACCTTGGTAGCTTGAAAAACAGTCCAGGCATATGCATGCATGTGCAAAATCCTAATGGGATGGAGAAATGGAAGGAAAAGCATTCAACATGACCACTCCCGCTGGGATGCTTCTCTCTCTCTCTCTCCCTCTGTCTCAAGTGCATACACTCTCTGGCAAAAGCAAAAACAAAAAGGTATTGTATGGAGAGATCCTTTCATGGCATGAGTCTTAGAGGCATGGGACTTAACAGTTTAGGAAACATTAAGACTGAAAATTCTTGGTTTTCATTTATTGTTTTGTTCATCACTCTTACACTTTTGCTTTCTTTCCAGAGATAGACCACTGTGCCTCCCCTGATCATGGATGCCAGCACGAGTGTGTTAACACAGATGATTCCTATTCCTGCCGCTGCCTGAAAGGCTTTACCCTGAATCCAGACAAGAAAACCTGCAGAAGTAAGTCACACTGGGCATTGGAGAAGGGCTGGTTCTGCTCCAAGCTTCTGCTCCAAGCTTCTCCAGTCAGGTTTCCTGTCCCTGCAAATCTTAAGTAAAATGTTCTTGCGCTTAGCATTTCTGTTTACTAACATTATCCTGCCCTCTATTTTACCATTTTGCTTGCAAGATCCTATTATGGGGGGACCAGCAGATGGCATCATGGTTATGTCGCTGGGCTTCCACAGTCAACAGCAGTTCGAGTCCTGGACCCAGCGACTTAAAACTCACACTGGGACTGGGCGCATGTGCATGTGTGCTCAAGATCCAGAGAAGAGAATGGAGTAGAAGGGATTGCATTGTGGCCATCCCCTCTGGGGGGTGATTTCTCGCTTTCTGTCTCTGTCTCTCTGGTGAGCACATGAGCCCTACAGCAAATCTCTCTCTCTCTTTTTGTTAAAGATTCTATTATTGGGATTAATTTTAGAGATTGAATAGAAGGGGTCTAGCCATTGGATTCATTTAGCAGTGTCCTGGGCCAAGCAGAAGCTCCCGTCTATTTGAAATGAGAGTGCACTCTCCCTCTTTCCTATGTACCTTTGGGGAAGAAAATGCCGGGCCCAGAGATAGCAGGTAAAGGAACTGGTTTCTTTCAGTTCTACAAGATAAGACTCAATGGCTGCTTAGATGGGGGAATTGCTGCTCTTTGATAGAAAGGAAAAAGACAGAATAAGACTCTGGGGCATCCCAGCAGCATTCTAGGGGCCCAGGGGGTCCAGCGGGAAGATACCGAAGATGTGCTGAGTGACTTTGTTGCCTGTTGTCACACACTAAGGGCTGTGACCAGGCATCTAGGACATGGGCCTCAAAGGAGACCTTTTTGGGTTTTTTTTTGCTATAGGATCCACATACTTGCCAGAGAGAGAGAAAGTGAGAAATGCCCCCCCCCCCGGGAGAACGGTCATGCCCAATCTCTTCTCCATTCTCTGGGACTCCGGGCATCCACGCACATGTGCCCGGCATGTTTCTCAAGCCACCAGATTCAGACTTGGACCATGGAGTAGGTCTTGTGGGAGCAAGTGCCTCAGTCACCACACTGGCCCCAAAGGGGCCCTCTTTAAGCCAGACTGTTTCTGAGAAACCACTGGAATGGAAGGCCCACCAGGCCAGAGGAGAGGCTATCTTTTTCTTGCTGCCGAATCCTCTACAGCTAGGAGTGCTTGGCATACCCGAGTGCAGCACTGTATTTGTGGAATGGATACCTGAACAGGTAAGTGAATCTCTCTGAGATGTACCTGAGAAATTGCAGCTCTTATTTGAATTCCTCGATCTTATAAGAAAGATGCCCTTTTCTAAAAAAAAAAGTTTATTTTAGTCTTGATAGAGGACACATGCTTGCTCATGAGAGACAGATAAAAAGAGAGAAAGGAGGGAACCAGCAGTTAGCGTAATGGCTATGTCACTGGACTCCCACGTAGTCGACCGCGGTTCGTGTCCCGGACCTGGTGGCTTAAAACTCACGCCGGGCGCGTGTGCGTGCGTGCCCAAGATCCCGAGAGGAGAATGGAGGAGAGGGGATTGCGGCGTGACCATCCCCCCTGGGGGGTGATTTCTCGCTTTCTGTCTCTATGTCTCTCTCTGTCTGTCTGGCGAGCGCACGCGCCCTACAGTGAAAATCTCTCAAAAAAAAAAAAAAAAAAAAAAAGAGAGAGAAAGGAAAAAGCACCCTCCACAGGGTCTCCTTATGACATGGTCCCTTTTCCTCAGCCCCCCTTCCCCCAATTTGTCAGGATCTTGGGCATGCACACACACACCCAGTACAGTTTTTAAACTGACCTGAGAATCCAAACCCAGTCAGCCCTGTGACTTCAAGCACTGCAGCAGTTCAGTTTGCTACCAACTGCACACCAGGCCGGACCAAATGGCCTTTTTAAATCATGCAGGTTGTGATTTTGTTTTCAAAAAACTATTTCACGGAAGGGTCAATTCCGTGGCCTAGTGGTTAAGGGAGTGAGATCCATGTGGCTAATTGTGTTTTGAATCCTAGCCTTGGCAGCTTGAAAAACAATGTTGCATTCAAATCCCAACAGGATGGAGAGGTAGAGAAGAAAGGATTGAGGTATGACCATGACCCATGTAGGGGGGTGGTGCTTTCTTTATCTCCCCCCTCTGTCTGTGTCTCTTTTTCTCTCTCTGGTGAGTGCAAGCATTCTCTGATGATTAAAAAATAAGTATTCCATAGTCGGTCTCCACTTAATGCACACTGAATTGCTGGGGTTCTCCTGACAATGTCACCCACAGAGCTCCCTGGAGTTTCCATTTAGGCATGGGTTTTCCTATACATTCCTTCATCCATTTTGCCCCACCAATAGGCACTAAAGGGCATCGCATCACAGGACTGCATTTTCACCATGTATCTCTCTTGAAAAGCACCACACACTGTAGAACCGAACCAGATGAGTCACGTTCTATTTATAGCATAGATTAACTTACATGCTTATCCTAATGGGTGTTAAAACTTGTATGGTGGCAGAGCTCACATTTCCAAACTGAGCCTCTCTTATAAAGGATAATTCCCACTGCCTTGCCTAGATACACATCCTGGAAACATCCAGGCATTAAATGGGAATTTTGAGTGAGAACGTTTAGAATGTGAAAACAATTAGATGGAATATTTTCCACTAGACCACATATGCGTACGATATGTTGGAGGGTCAATTTTTCTGGCCTGGCTGCCCCTCTCTGTGCTGTTTACAACCTCTCTTCCTAGGGGCTCAGTGTTAGGGGCTGACAGCTCAGGAAAATTGCTCACAGTTGGATTCATATTTGTGCCCTCGAAGCTCTATATGTGGGGGCTGAATGAATCTGATTCAACTCAGACACTCATTGTGGTTGCAGATTTCCTTATGTGTCTCTAATGGGGGGAGGGATGGTGTATGGAAGGAAACAAGTTAGGCTTGTGGCCATTGTTGGAGGAGAATTTGCTTGAAGCTTTGCAACTCTAACCACATGTTTAAGATTGCCTTGACCTCTGCCACTCCCTCCACACCCTGCCTGGAAAGGCACTTGGAATAGGGGAGGTCCCAAGGCAGTGTAGGCATGATTATTAAAAGAGTAGGAAGGCTAAGAACAGATGGGTGGATGGAGAGGAAGTGGTCACTGGGGAACAGTTTGACCACCACCGATTGACCCACAGAAGGGCCTGTTTGAGGAGTTCCTAATGTTCTTTCATTTATTTTCAGTGGTCTTAGCTCCATTTCCTCCTTTTTTTTTTTTTTTTTTTCCTTTTCCTAGAGGTTTTTGCCTTAGGGCGCATGTACTTGCAGGAGACTGAGAGACACAGTGAGAGCGAAAGAGGAAAGAGAGGTGTTCCCACCCCCAGGGTGGATGGCCACACAGCAATCCCTTCTCCATTTTCCTCTTGAGATTTTGGGCACATATGCACATGTGCCTGGCGTTGAGTTTCAAGCTGCTGGGTCCAGACTCAGACTGTGGTTGACCACATGGGAATCCAATGTCTTAAACATTATGCCACCTGCTGGTCCAACTCTCGAAGTCAGCCTCTTAGCACTGCCCCTGACTTAATGCTGGCACTGGGTCCTGGGGGGCAGCTCAAAACAGAAGTGAGCGCTTACTGCCTCTCTGGAGCATGATGTGGGAAAGGTACTGGGTTTAACATCTAGAGTTTGTTATTAGGAGTATGTGGTCTCTCGAGTGATCTGAGCATTACAAATCTCAAGCTCAGGGTACAGCTATTTACATTTAATGGAAGGTTGGTGGATATGGGTAATTTTTTAAAAGAAATTATTTTTATTTAACTTCATTTTATTTATTTATTTATTTATATTTGACCAGAGAAGAACAGAGTAAGAGAGAAAAGGGTGGTGGTGGGGGGGGGCGAAGAAAAGCATGATGTGGGAAAGGTACTGGGTTTAACATCTAGAGTTTGTTATTAGGAGTATGTGGTCTCTCGAGTGATCTGAGCATTACAAATCTCAAGCTCAGGGTACAGCTATTTACATTTAATGGAAGGTTGGTGGATATGGGTAATTTTTTAAAAGAAATTATTTTTATTTAACTTCATTTTATTTATTTATTTATTTATATTTGACCAGAGAAGAACAGAGTAAGAGAGAAAAGGGTGGTGGTGGGGGGGGGGGAAGAAAAGTAAGAAAGCAAGCCACCAGGTTTGGGACTCAAACCACAGTTGGCCATGTGGGGGTCCAGCGCCCTTAACCAGCACACCACCTGCCAGCCCCATGATGTGGATGATTTTCCTATCTGTAACAAATCTATTTTTTTGCGGGGGGAGAGGTTTTTGCTATAGGGCGCGTGCGCTCGCCAGACAGACAGAGAGAGACATAGAGACAGAAAGCGAGAAATCACCCCCAGGGGGGATGGCCACACCACAATCCCTTCTCCTCCATTCTCATCTCAGGATCTTGGGCATGCACGCACACGTGCCTGGCGCGAATTTAAGCCAGCGGGTCCAGGACTCAAACCGTGGTTGACTACATGAGAGTTCAGCGACATAGCCATTATGCTAACTGCTGGTCCCAGAAATCTGCTTTTTGAAGGACTTTGATGTCATCTCATTAAACTAGGGGAAACCGTTTAAGGCAAAATCCTACTGAAGAAAACTGTTGGCAGGGTTTGCTCTCCTCCTCCTCTGGGCACAGCTTCTCCTATGAGAGCGTGCTGTCATCGAGCAAAAGCATCAGTTATCGAGGCGGCAAAGCCAGAAACTGGGATTGGCCCAGCTGCGCCGGTGGCGCGCCAGGGCTGAGTCAGATGTGGGTGCGACTGTGTGCTGGACTCCAGGATTCACGATGTTGGAGATGTGAGGGCCCCTCTTGGCAGAGTCACTATAACTGGTGGTGTGACCTTGGGCAGGCTGTTTTCTGGTGCTATGGACCTGGGTTTTCTAAACTAAAGAAACAAAACTTTCTATTGGGTTGTCGGGAAGGTCATGACACATTTTTGCATAGAAAAATACATCATAACCTTCTCAATGCCCTAATACTTTCATGCTTTGTTATCTGTCCAATTTTTCTGAAACTTATCTCTGTGCCACTTAACTGGCATTATCGTTTATTGCTCAGGGTCACTAATCTTTCACGCTAGTCTTACCCTCTCTTTCATGAATTGGCACTCCTAAAGACCGTCTAATTAGTGACCTGACAGTTCTGCCCCCTGACCTTTTGGGGGTTTACTGTGTTCCCTGGGCCTTACCAGATAAAGTTATAGCGAAGTCTGGCCTGTGTGCATCACTTCAGTTGTGAAGTCAGCTGACCAGATCTGTGTAGTAGGTACTCAATAAATGCTTATTAAATGAGTAAATGAATATCTAAGTTCACATACATGAGGGAATAAGGTGCAAGTGTGTGAAAAAGGCATAGAGCTACCATTAAACCTCTGCTCTACCCCGTACAGATGAATGGATTGAAAAACTGTGGCATATATACTCTATGGAATACTATTCAGCCATTAAGAACAACAAAACCCTGACTTTTGACAGAAAGTGGAAGAATATGGAAGATTTAGTGCTGAGTGAAGCAAGCCAGGCTATGAAGGAGAGACACTGTATGTCCCCACTTAATATATACCGAATGTCTGCACTCTATAACTGAAACTGACTGGCTAAAGGATGTACAAACAGAAGAGGTGGATGTGAATGCCAGATGTGGTGTGTGTGGAGGAGTGGGGCCTGGGGAAGAACATTTGGAGGAGGGATACAAAGACAGTATTGTTGAGACAGGGAGGTAGTGTTGCTATATTTTGATCAACTAGACCGGGGAGAAATGTTCACATATTGAAATGATCACCTTGTAAGCTAAATAATGTAATTGAATGTATTTTTAAAAATGTAAATAAAAATTAAAACAAAACAAAACAAAAAAACCTCTGCTCTAAAGAACTATTTGGAGAAAAGTCATTTTTGAAGTGCCATTTGCCAGATAGCTGACTGATAGGCTCTTTTTCTTTCTTTTTCTTTTCTTTTTTTCTTTTTAAGAGAGATTTTTGTTACAGGGCACATGTGCTTGACAGAGGGACAGAAAGTAAGAAATCACCCCCCAGGGGGGATGGCCATGCCACCATCCCTTCTTCTCCATTCTCCTTTTAGGATCTCGGGCACGCACGCACACATGCCTAGAGTGTTTTAAGCCGCTGGGTCCAGCATTTGAACCATAGTCAGCTACGTGGGAGTCCAATAATGTAACCATTGTGCCATCTGCTGGTCTTGAGTGATAGGTTCTTTAAGAATCTTAATGTTGGGACCAGTAGATGGTGTAATAGTTACGTTGCTGGACTCCTACGTAGTCGGCCGTGGTTTGAGCCCTGGAACTGACAACTTAAAACATACTCTGGGCACATGTGTGCGTGTGCCCAAGATCCCAAGAGGAGAATGGAGGAGAGGGGACTGTGGTGTGATCATCTTCCCCGGGGGGTGATTTCTCACTTTCTTTTTCTCTCTCTCCAGCGAGCACATACACTCTATAACAAAAACACTCTCAAAAAAAAAAAAGGATCTTAAAATGTTGGGCCAGCTGGTAGATTGGTGGTTAAGGTGGCTGGATCCCACATGGCTGGCTGCACAATTTGAGTCTTGGATCTGGTGGCTTGAAAAGCAAATTAGAGCGGGAACCAGCAGTTAGCGTAATGGCTATGTCACTGGACTCCCACGTAGTCGACCGCGGTTCGCGTCTCGGACCCGGTGGCTTAAATCTCACGCCAGGCGCGTGTGCGTGCGTGCCCAAGATCCCGAGAGGAGAATGGAGGAGAAGGGATTGCGGCGTGACCATCCCCCCTGGGGGGTGATTTCTCGCTTTCTGTCTCTATGTCTCTGTCTGTCTGGCGAGTGCACGCGCCCTATAGCGAAAACCTCTCCAAAAAAAAAAAAAAAGCAAATTAGAGGGACCAGCAGGTGGATTGGTGGTTAAAGTGCTGTACTCCTACGTGGCTGACTGTGGTTCCAGTCCCAGACTTGGCAGCTTGCTTTCTCACTTTCCCCTCTTTCTCTGGTCAAGTTAAATATTATTATTATTATATATAAATTAAATAAATAATTATTAAAACACACACACACACACTAGACGCATGTACATGCATACCCAAAATCCTGAAAGGATAAATGAAGAAGGGATTGTGGCTTGACCCACCCCCATGGCTTTCTTGCTTTCTCTCTCTTTCTCTGTCTCTCCAGTGAATACATGTGCACTCTAGCAAAACAAAACAAAACTAAATTAAATGTTTTTTAGTTGAATTATCTTGTGTGTAAACCTGTTTTTAACATTTTAATTCATCTATTTATTTAAATTGACAAATATTCTACATATTGGGATCAGCAGATGGTGTAATGGTTACACCACTGGACTCCCACATAGTCCCATGGTTCAAGTCCCAGACCAGGTGGCTTAAAACTCACACCAGGCATGTGTATGTGCCCAAGATCCCGAGAGGAGAATGGAAGAGAAGGGAGAGATACAGGCACTCCCAATATGATCTTTACACTGTGATCCATCCCTGGCCCCAAGCAGCCAGGAACATAGATTAGTGCTCCTGGCCTACACTGGGAGCCCTCAGGACATGAACTTGGGACCTTCCCATATGGTCTCAGCATCACAGAGCATTGTGTCACCACTGTACCACCAGGGCTGGCCACTGACTGTGGGATCTTGAGAAAGCTATGGATTCTCTAAACCTCCATTTCTCATCTTCCAAATGTGCTCATACCTTGTGGGGACAAATGAAACCCAGTGTTCTTCTTTAATCATCTAGCTTTAATTCTTAACTTTTTATTTCTATTTTTTTCTTTATTTATAGTAGAACATCTATAGGACACGAGAGAGAGAGAGAGAGGAGCACCCTCCACAGGGACTGGTCACACCAGAATCCCCTTTCCTCCAGTCCTCCAGCCCACTGGGTCTTGGGTACTTGTGTGCCTGGTGTGTTTCAACCTGACTGGGCAGAGGATTCAAACCATGATCGCCATGTGGGATCCAGCTTCTCTTGAGCAGCACATTACTGCT